CGTTAGGGTTAGGGTTAGGGCTAGGATTAGTCAGAAACGGAGTCGAGGTTGGGAGTAATGTCTGCCCGGCGACCAACCTGTGCAAGCTAACTTCTTGCCATATTGGATCTACCTCTAACAGCGCCCTCTATAACTTCTCAACAAAATTCTAATTTCACATGAAACATATACACACTAGCATCTTTGCCACTCAGCCTACATAAGATGAGGGGTGTATTGTCAGTCACTCTCTTCTCTAAGAGCATCAAGGTTATCGGTACCTTATCAAATAATGTATCATGTATAACACATTATTAAAACCTAGAGACAAGAAATGTGGTCTTCATTAATAGAATTATGAAATTGTATAAAATTAGCTGTTATACGAAGGACACAGTTGTTCCAACAACTCATGTAAACATCCAATGCTAATATTGAAAACAATTATAATGATTCACAATATCAATGTATACGTACTGAACTAGACAACAAATGAGTGCATCTGACCTTGCGATCTTTATAGGAACTTCAGAAAACGACTTTACCTTATTGTTGAGAACACCTCGACAAACTTCGGATTTTTTTTGTAAAAACACGTACAGTATGTAGTCAAATCACTTCGAAAAATTCATAATTTCACAAGTTACATTGTGCGGCACACAAAGTTATGAAGGAGAGTAGGCCACACATTCCTCAACTGAACGTATACCGAATTGGTCGGTTTAATTCAGTTGTGCCCAAACCATTTGGTTGCAGGAATGTTCCTGAGGGTTGGGGAAAAGCTCATATTCAAATTCTTTGGTTGCAGAGATGTTCCTGAGGGTTGGGGAAAAGCTCATATTCAAATCTTTGGTTGCAGAGATGTTCCTAAGGGTTGTGGAAAAGCCCATATTCAAACCCTTTGGTTGCTGGGATGTTTCTGAAGGTTGGGGAAAAGCTCATAATTCATCAATCTACATTGGTTTATTATGCTGAGATAAGGTTTCATCTAGGATGGCAAACAAACATGTTCGGTGACTCACTTGTTTAAATAGTCAAGCTCATGCTAGACAGACAATCACACTACCTACCAGCTGATGTCTCTGGTGGTGCAGTCCGGCAATTTTACTCTCTAGTCTCGCAAACTCGTCCAATTTACTTCACATTTGTGTCAGAATAATCTTTGTGCGACGGCAGATTTCGAGCATCGATGATAAAGAAAAGGTACTCGAACCTAAAACAGCACTGCGTAACACGCTTCACACGTTTTTTAAACTACGTCAGCGCACATCGGCTACCTAACCTGGTCAATATTTTTCGAATTAATTCGAATTAATTCGAATTAATTCGAATTAATTCAATAATTATTATTCATCTCAATATCTTTATACACACCATTATTGGTTTAATAGGGTTTAGTATAGCCTGCAATCAGAATTAACCCAATAAAATGCGTATGTAGGCCTACCCGTCGAACCCGTAACACAACGCACTTCGGGCCGTGGAAATTGCTGGATATAACTTAATCCAGAGCAGGCGATGTCACCTATGAGGTGGATATATGTTTCTATGCCACCGACTGATCGCGTGATGTCAGTGTACGTCAGTGTGACGTCAGTGG